TTTTTTTTTAGAATCAAATGTACTACATGTCATAGTGCTGTTATAAAGTGATTCATCATCATCATACATTAATCTCCTAAATATTTAAACTCCTGAGGTGGAACATCTTAGAGCTTGAAAAAAGGACCTCTTTGTGTGACCTCACATGGGGCAAGTTACTTTCCCATTACCGGTATATGCAAGGTATTGTTTACCAGGAAATGTTACACAAATTTGCAGACTGTTGTCTAGATTTGTTGTATAACTACTATAGTGATGAGGGTGGTCACTTTTAGGTAACATGTTTCTTTGTATTTCTTCTCATTTTCCAGAAATGAATTTGTTCCTTTGTTTTGCTTATCAAAATGGAGCTCGAATGCAGACCTTGTCAGGAGGCAATAGCATATGCACACACACACACACACACACACAAACTTATTCCATGGGTAAATTATCTTGTCTAAGACAGTAACTTGTCTGTACACCTGCACACAAGTGCTAAAATATGGGGATTAATAAAAATATCTTTTTAAAGAGGCTAAAAGAATATCGTAAAAATGACATGTTTTTCTGTAGAAATGTAAAATTCACTTAAAAACTCAGTATTTTGTAAATGATTTGATGCAGATGGCGTTTTTTGTTTCTTTCTTTTTAAAGCTATTTTAATCTGTTGGTACCGCACCTTAGACCTGCACCTAGCGATTACTCACTCCAGCGTTGTCTCATACGATTTAAAGCAAGAATCCTTTTTTTTTCCAGTGCAGGGACAGAGGGGTAATCCAATCCCCGCAGCTCCCACCACATTTCTTTTTTACTCCGTTGCGCTTTAATTTTAGGTAATACGAATCCCGGTTTCTGATTGGTTAAAAATTTAATCACGCGCGCCTGCTATTTCTAACTTCTTTCTGATTGGGCCTCCAGCTGTCAGTCGCGACTTTCCCACATCCAATGAGCTTGTGCACGTGGCGTCTTTTTTCTTACTGCGACGGCTAAGAAACGGAAAGTTTTAACGCAGCTACATTTTAATTATCCGGGCGACGTGTTTGCAGTAGCGGGTTATTGCTGTACCCAAGGCTGCTTTTGGCACCTTTCAGTTCCCTTAATAATTTCGAAAAGCAGCGCGTTTACTCTGAATGCGTCACAGCGTAAGTGACCGCATGGAAACGGAGAGCTGAGCTTTCCATCTGCTGTGGACTGTGGTAGAGTGGGGGCTTCTGTGGCGGCTGGCGATTTGTGGGTGGTCGTTGATTCGCTAACGCTAGTGTTGCATCCACATTACACGTGGAGCATGTGCTCTTTGTTGGTGTAGCGTATATACAGTGTTTTTGGTTGCAGCGTTTTAGTGTTTATTGTATTTTTATTAATTTAAGAATCGTCTGCATGGCTGAGATCTAAAACGTGCTCGAACTAGATTCAAGTATAGTAGTCGGTTTTCAGCTAAATTGGGCACTTTAAGATAAACAAAACCAGAGCCCACAGTGAGTCCAAACCAACATGCCAGTTAGGCGCTTTGGGGGTCACAGGTCTTTGGTCTCTCAGTCTCAGTCCCCAAAGCTGTCCTATGGTTACACGAAAATGAACATTGCCAGAGGTGGCTACCGTGTTTTTTCTGCCAACTCTTCCACCGCATGCACCGAGCTGGCCCAGAAGATAACAGAGTAAGTGAAATTAATAACTGTTGACTTAATGTGTTCGTGTCATTGCAACATATTTAACGATTTAATAACGATGAGTACATAGTCATGTTGATTCGTGTGTGGTGTTGACATGGCCTTGCTAGTAAGCCAAGTCTCTGTCAAAACACCACGTTACAGCTGCACGCGTGTGACTTTACGTTGTTTTTAATTCAGTACGACAAAAACAATCACTATTGTGAAAACTGTGGACCAGGGCATGGCAATCACACTACTCTCGCCACAAGATGATGGTGTAACTGCTCAGCGTAGTGTGACCCAGTGTACATGGCCTACATTCGTACATTACGTAATGCATGTTCAAAACATCCTTTTAACACACTTCAACAAGTTTTATGGCAAATACTGAAACAAAGAATAAAAGTTTTAGAAACGGAGATTAAAAAAAGACTTTGCACTGAACATTTTAAGAAAATCCAATTAAGTGGATATGCATCACCTCATTGTACCTGAAGATGTGACAGTAAATCTGCAAAAGTATTGATGTTTACTTCAACTAAACTGCCTATCTTACTTTTTGATAACTGATTCCAGATGTCATTGCATGCTGTGTAACTATTTAATCAGCTTATTGGCTGTAAAACTTGAATTTATGTATGCTCCAATTTATGTACCTCAATAGTCAACATAACCAAACCTGCCACTTTTCCTAAAAATCGTTTTATTTTGAAGTGCTATTACATAGTAACGAAACACTGAGGACGGCACTGTACAGTGAAGATTTTTTTATTAGCTAATGACAAATCTGTTTTGTTTTTTTTCTGCAATGGGAGATAAACCTGTCAGACCTGTCAGTGGTAATCATTGTTACAAAGGGAGTATGCTTTTCGAAGTAAGCATATCCAGGTCTGCCTTCGAAGTAAGCATGGTATAGATTTACTACTGGGTATTACTGTGATAGGCAAAATACTTAATTGGCCGTGATTCATAGAGCATGTACACGAGGCAGTGTTTCTTTTGGTTAAAAACAAGTGGTTCTCTTACTGTAATTTGAAAGCAGTTTTTATTTTTTTGTTGTTTTTGTTTTATTTGGTTATTTTTGCTCCTGTAGCCTTGTCAGATAGCCAGATGGAAGTTGCACTTCCCACCCAGTAGGGAGGGGAAAGAATCAAGGTTTCTTAGTTTTCAGTGCTTGGCAAAGTTGCAGGAGATTTTTTTTTTAACCAAAACAAGCCTGCAATTTCAAGCCGGGGTTTCCTGGGGAACAAAAGGTTTAAAAAATGACAGAGAAAATAGAGAGAAAAATATTAATGAATACTGTACTGAATATTTATGCTAAGGTGCACTCAGAGGCTGGGTGTGAATACAACTGGAACAAAAGCATCCTTATTTTTATTCTTCACTGGATGTGATGAAAGGAAAACAACATGCTTGAAACCTTCCCTGGTTAGACAAATATATCTTTCTATGAACAGGAAAAAGAAAAAGACTTAAGGAGAATGTCCCATATGTTCGTCCCCTGTTTTGATTAGGCTACTTTATGGTACTGTCATAACAAAAAATTGAAAAAGTCTGAGATTTATGAATGCAAACAGGGTGAGGCAGCAGTGCAGAGTACAGACTGATGGGTTCTCTGCTTGCATTTTGGCTGTTGCATTTTGACCTAAATAGATTTATAATTTTTTTTTAAGAACCGCCAACTTATCAGAGCCCAAATTGAGGTGTTTACCTTTGAGACTAACGGTAAAGAAACAAAGTACAATTTTTATGATGTGATCCAGGGGGATAAAGCAAGTAAAGAAATGTCTTATTTTGTCTCACCAGTAAGTTCAAACTTCCAAATTTATATCAGAAAATAGAAAAGGTCAGTTATCAGTGACCAAAATTATTTGTTAATTAAATGTATTTCTTAAAATCATTTAAGAAACTGATCATTTCACCTAGATAAATGGATTTTGACACACACGATGTTGATAGCCAAAATATAAGGTTTATTTCCACACAATAATGTAATAATTTTAAACTTTAGTTCTTGAAGTTCTTCACATGGAGAGCTATCAAACTGCTGGGCAGAAAATAGTGTCTTAGTACAAAAATAATATTTACACGCTTCAGTTAGTGCAATACACCAAGGTATGTTTTTTTTAACTCTGTGGTTTTTTTCCCCAGGCGTTTGGGGGTGGAACTGGGAAAGTCAGTGGTTTATCAAGAGTCCGATTCAGGTGAGGCCAAGCATTTAATGTCAAATATTAATGAACTATGGTTTCCTGTTGCCACAGTAACTCATGAATACATAAAAACTGTGCTTTTTATTCAGAGACTAGAGTGGATGTGAAAGAATCTGTCCGTGGACAAGACATCTTTATCATTCAGACCATTCCCAGGTGAGACAGATGTCTTTAGCAAAAAAAAGAAAAATGATTCATCTTTTAAAGGTAGTATTTGGTGTTCTTAAATGTCTATCATCCAGCGACACCAATATTGAGCTAGAAAAAACAAAAGAACAAACAAAGGAAAAAAGCTTAGATTAGCCACCTGGCTTGAAAAGTTAGCTGGTTTTGACCATGTCTGCATGACATTGAGTTGTTGAGATGCTTAGGCATACCTAATAAAGTGGCCAGTGAATGTATATGTTTTACAAGAAGTGAGAGTGAACGGTTGGCTGGATTAGGTGGAACCAAAAAAGATGTGCAAATGTGTGTGAGTGCAAATGTATCACTTTCTGTTGGATATGTAAATGACCAATTAACTGTAAACACATCAGCTAAGACAACTTTATGCTTTGATAAAATAATAAAGTTCTGATCAGAAACGACTCTTAATCTATTTATTTAATGTTCTAAAGTACTTTATTACTGAAATCGGCGTGTTTTCAAAGTTTTATGTTATAAGCACGTGTCCTTTATGCGACACAATAACATGGTCAGCTTTTTAAAATCTAGATATGACCTCAGATAGTTACTAGGAATTCTAACAGGAGTCGAAGCATATCTATTTTTGTGCCGAGACTCAGTTAAGTTTTCCATTTCATGTCATGTGAGGTGAGTTTTCCACCTTGTTTGTCATTCTTTTGCTATGACAAAAAGACTGGCTCTAAAAAACAACCAGAGGTATTCAATGTTGTTGAGTTCTAGCGCTTCTCCTATTGAGTGTGCACAGAGGCAGCAGTTAAGTCACCTGCCTATCTACATGTTGTGTCTTGCCATTAAAAACAAAAAACAAATGTAGTCAAACTGGTCTAATAATAATATAAATAACTTTCCTGACAGTCGTCATCACAGCACAGTTTTGATTTGTAGTTACTATAGATCAGAATCATCTGTTAGACCTTTTGTTACGTGCGAATGTTTTTCCTGAGTCAAACTTGTCATTTACGTTAGCTGACTTTTTCAGGAAAATCCTGTTTCGATGGTGCAGGTTATTTGTAAACTATGCAAATTTAAAAAAAAAAAAAAAGTGAACCTTTGTTCAGATACAGTGGTGTTTGCACTGTCTGTTGACATGATGTTTGCAAACAAATGTTTAATGGCAGACCGAACAGTCTCTTTCATCTCATAATTATAAAGCATCGTTCTGTATTTTTTGTCCCTAGATTCAATATTCCATACCTGTACCTTACAGTCCGTGGCACCTGATATGGTCTCTTATTTCTTTCTTACTTGTGTTGCTCAGAGATGTCAACACAGCTGTCATGGAGCTGCTGGTTATGGCTTATGCCCTAAAGACGTCCTGTGCCAAGAACATCATCGGGGTCATTCCCTACTTTCCTTACAGCAAGCAGTGCAAGATGAGGAAGAGAGGCTCCATTGTCTGCAAGTTGCTAGCATCTATGTTAGCTAAAGCTGGTATATATGCTGTTCTCATTTCCTTTGTCGTCATCGTTTTTTGGGGGGGTTATATCCAGTAAAAGAAAGTGCAGATTAAAGTCAACAGACAGTCAATGACACTAAAAGTAGGAGGGGAGGTACATTGCGACTATAGCTTGAATAGTGAATATTGTTTTAGTAGTGTTGCTTTATCAGACCCAGGTTGAATTAGTTTTTTGTTTTTTTTTTCCCCAGTCTGACTCAGTTTTTGCCGTAAAAGGCTGGCGGGGGATTGTCGTCATCCTGCTGGCCGGGCGGGTGGCGTGGACACCCATGTTTTTGAATGCAATAACTTGAGAACGAGGAGGAGTCTTGTCTTGCCTGCTTACTGGGCCTGAAGACAAGTTTTGTTGACCTTTTAAAAATGGTAGAAAATGTAAATTTAAAAAAGTTAAGGGGAAAAGGTGAATAAACGTAATACTTTGTTGCCTGTTTCCATTCATGTTTGTTTTTTAGCACAATAACCTATAGCAGTTAGTGTTATTGCAGGATTCATAGGGTGGTCTTCTGCCAGAATGTTATTCAGTGTCTAGTTTTTCAGTATGTTCCAGGTCTTGCTCAGTCATACTGTTTATGCTTCTTCCAAAGTGCCAAATGGCAAACAAATACCTGCAAGTTGGTAGAAACAATCTTCATGTGTGATTATAAATCAGCCACTACAAGTTGTGAAATCTACAAATGTTTCAAAATGTGTGCAGTATGTACAGGCTTAGGGATGTAAGAAACTGTACATGTAAATACCTAAATGTATTGTTTTACAAAATGTCCTACCTTTTTATTGCTAATTCCATTTTCTTATTTCAGTTGTCTTAGTTCACTGTGCTTAAAACCAATGATTTAATAAGTTGCGAAGCTATCAACTTTTAAAAAAAATCAAAATGTTATTTTTCTGTCACCAGTCTTGAAGAGCTTTAATTTCATGCTACAGGCATTTCTGAAACTATATAACCTCACACACATAAACATGTTATGTGTTTGTACTGCAGGGCTAACTCACATCATCACTATGGATCTTCACCAGAAAGAAATCCAAGGCTTTTTTAACTTCCCTGTTGACAACCTGAGAGCTTCCCCTTTCCTCATCCAGTACATTCAAGAGGAGGTTAGGTTGCTTTATACTGTAGGCTCAACAAGACGTGCCTCCACATCAAACATACACACAAATAGTGTTTTACTGTTATGTATAAATGGTTAGAGGTCAAGAGTATTTTTTTTTCTCTTCAGATCCCAAATTACAGGAATGCTGTCATTGTTGCAAAGTCCCCCTCGGCTGCTAAGAGGTAATTTGGCAAGTCTGACAATGCCGATATCTTTAACGTTGCTATTATGAAATGCATTAGTACGGTTTCTCTTGTCTAAGGAGCTTGGAAAGCTGTTTCTCTTGACTTTTTTTCACTATACTGAATGATGTATATGCAAAGTTTGACGTTAAAGGGGTATTTTCAAATTAAGCTGAAATAAAGTTTAAAGTGTTACCTTTTGTGAGCTAGAAAAAAGTCAGATAAAAGCTACACACACCTTAGTGTTCAAAACATAAAGACTGAATTAATGGTGCAGCCAGGTTTTTATAAACTGTAGGATGTTTTCAAGCATGAGGTTCTTCCTCATACTTGAGTCTTGTGCTCAAAGTCACATGATTACTAAAGTCCTAACATAACTAATAACCTATTGAAACTTTTTTGTGATCTTCTTAATGTTTTAGGTGTTCACTACATGCACTGTGCACAATTCTCTTCAGGGCAAGCGATACGTTCCACAGTTTTTGCCATTGTCACAGATTGAATCAGATGCTTGTTGTGTAGTAGCTTTATTAAATCATGACTGCTGTTAGTTGCATTCACAGAACATGACATCCCTTTTTTATTTATTTATTTTTTTGTTAAAGAAAAAAAAAAAAACCCTAATCATAGGTTTACCAATCATAGCAATCATAGGTTTCGGAGCTATTAACACTGTGGGCCTGCACCATTTGATTGCTTCGCTCATGTATGAACATACTGGCATGTATGCTAATTTAAGAAAGTAATATAAAAACATATATTCATGGTTCTTCTTTGCATGCTACATATTAATTGTGTAAGACAAAGCAATCACCTACAGGCTCTGTTAGCATCACAGTTACTTGTTTAAAGACATGCATGACAGCACATTCCAGTAACCCCCATGTGCCACTGCACTTAAAATTGTTTAGCAAAATTTATTTGCAAATGATAACATACACATAACAAAGACTTAATGTCGATGTTCATTTTGTGATCAGCTACTACACATATATGACTTGTAAGGACCTGAGTGTTATAAAAATAATTCCCAACACTATAAATGCAATATACATGTTAACGATATTGGTGCTCTAGGGAGTTTTTATAGTAACTTTAAAGCAATGGGAATAAAAAGAACTGAGCTGAAAGTGAAAGTGTGGACAAGCTAGAGACTAAATGAAGAAACAAAAGAATGCCTAACGCTTGTATGGCCTCCTAATTGTGCTTTTGTGTTTTCAATATACCACTTTTTCTTTGTTGGTATAATCTCTGTCCTTTGCAAACTTCTTTCTGCTCTCTTTTCTCTGTGTATTTTTTATGTGTTGTTTTTGTCACTTTCTTTGACATTGTGTGTCTGCATGTTTGTCTGTCCTAGAGCTCAGTCTTATGCTGAGAGGCTGCGACTTGGGCTGGCAGTGATACACGGGGAGGCCCACCACTCAGAGTCCGATATGGCTGATGGTCGACATTCTCCCCCTTTGTCTCGTGCTATCACAGGACACACTGGCCTGGAGCTACCATGTAAGATAAACGGCACAAACCTATCTGTATCTGTTGTTGTTGCTTTTCTTTCTTTTCTTTTTTTCTTGAAGCCTTGATGGTCATTTACAGGTATTTTAATTTTACTGGGAAAGAAAACTGTTTTATTACTAACTCTGTTTTTTGTTACTGTCTGTCTTTAGAAAAATTCATTTTTATTTTCATGTTGATTGTTAGAAAGCTTCCACAAGCTCCCTGTTCCTGTTTTGATTCTTTGCCAAGACACCAGCAGTGTTCTTTTAACGTTTGACTTCCTCAATTCTTACCTTCGTGTGCATAATAATCATGAGAGCTGCCCTGTAAAACAGCACTGGCAGAGTCCTGACTGAGAGGCTCTCCCATTGCGTATTATTTATTTTGACCACTAACTCAATGGTATATGCCAGGTTTAAAACATTGTGTTGTCAAACATGACATTTTCAGTAAGAATATAATGTTTATTCAAACTTAGGGACCATAAATAAACAGAAAGCCTCTTCTTTCTATTCACTTTGAAAAGACAACTACATCTGATCATAATCCAAATCAAAACCATTTCATTCATTTGTCCTAAGCTTGACAGATAGACCTCCATAAACTGGCACGGTGCTGTAGTCGCTACAGGAGTTTTAAAAATATTAACACGTTTTAAGATAAGAGTAATGCTGATGGCACAGCAACAAACAGCAACATGTGCAGTTTTCCCAAAAGCTTGCAGGCCAGCTCTGCCTCAGACATTGTTATAACCACCTGTGAAATATTGCAGGTGCTACCTGCCACCGTCGCGTCCTTCATTTCAACGCCAGATTTATTTCCCTCATCTCATTCCGCCCTATGTACTCTCCTTTCAGCTAAACCATCTCCCCGTTCTCCCGCCTCAACTTGGAAATATGTCAGCAATTGCTTTTTGCTGTCTCCAGCAAGGGCTGAATCTGAGTCTTCTTATGTCATCTCCCCCAATTTCACTTTGTATTGATTACATAAAATGTCAGACCTTCTAAGTCTGCTCTGAGTTTTTAGAATAATTTTTTTTGGAGCGGGGTATTTAATTATTTGTCTAATCATGCCATAATGTTTTGTACCATCCTATCCTTTTCCACAGCAAGCAGCAGACAGGTCCCATTCCCTGGGATAGAGCTTCCAAGTATGATAATATTGCCTGAATCCACTCTTGCCTCCTATTGATTGTTTATGCTTCCCTGCATGGAGTGACAGTGAGTTGCTGAAGGCTTCCACTTCTAAGTGGTGCTGGTCACCTGTAGAACCTCAATGAGGTTTCCTCTTTTTAGGATTAAATCACTACTTTTTTCCTATCATACACTGTTCTGAAAGATGAATACGGCATTTCAAATTGACCTTAATGAAACCAGTTAGTGCAGCAAAAGAAGGGTTATACCCCATACCATGTCAACATTAAATACTGTGAGTCATTTTTTGACCTACAAAGTTATTTACAGTGAATTTCACATAAACTGAGTGAAATGCACTGTCTTGATATTCATCTTTGAGCCACAGTGTCTGATGAGTGTTCATGGTAATTGCTGGAAGCCTTCTTTTTTTGCATCATCTGTTAAAATAATATCGATTCTTATAAAATTAATAATTGTTACCTGAGTGAGAAACTCTTAAATGAATGATATTATGAATAAAGTGTTAAATTATGGGCTGAAGAAAAGCCTTGAGGCCAGGGATAGGCAACTCCAGGCCTCGAGTGCTGGTGTCCTGCAGGTTTTAGATATCACCCCGGGTCAACACACGCCTGAATCAAATGATTAGTTCATTACCAGGCCTCTGGAGAACTTCATTACATGTTGAGGAGGTCATTTAGCAATTTGAATCAGCTGTATTTGACCAAGGACACATCTAAAACCTGCAGGACATCGGGACTCGAGGCCTGGAGTTGCCTACCCCTGCTCTAGGCATGTTAGCATTTTAGTGTTAACTCAAAACTATTGTTTATTAATTGCTTAACATGAAAGAAATCCTGACAAACAATAACACCACCCTTTGATAGTTATGTTTTGCACTGTGATTACATCAACTTGTTTCAAGTTTCTGTTTTTGAGTTTTAGGTGTCAGATTCTGCATGATTCCTTCTGTCCAAAACGTCTAAATAGTATTAAGACTTTAGTTTCATGACTTCCTTCTCAATCCAGAAATAACTATTTTAAAATGTATATTTTGCACAGTAGCCTTTGTACATCTGATTTTTGACATTATTGGGATTTCCACGTGGGAAACGCAACAAATAAGACGTGTTGAGTTCTAGACCTGAATCAATTGTTGCTTGAAATCCCTTCAGGTACATTTTAATGTTATATGTTTGGGTTGAGCAACTTAAATTCCCGATGACCCTTAGTGAATCTCCAAGATGAACCTTTTTATATTCTTATGGTCGTAAATAGTGTTTTGGATTACAAATAAGAATCGATTCTGGTCTGTTTTCAAAGGGAAACCCAGTTCTGCAGTCATATCTACTACTGTACCAAAAGCAGCTGTACGTCTTGGTTTGGATTTAGTTGGAAGCACAAATGTGAAAACTGTGGAATTATATATTTTGCCAAAATCTTAACAGTTTGAATGGTACTGTGGTAGTTGAAGCTTACTGGGTTAAAGCTGTCTGCATGGTGTTTGCAGGTTTTAACCAAATCCCTTCTCACCAAATGTTCATTAACTTTACTTCATTCCAATAAGCTTCCTCTGATTTGGGTTAAAAGAAAAGACCTGTCTTTTTTTCCTGAGAGTAATGCTAATATTTTTGTGTCTTTTAGTGATGATGGCAAAGGAGAAGCCGCCTATCAGTGTTGTTGGCGACGTAGGAGGCCGAATTGCCATCATTGTTGTAAGAGCTCTAAGTTTTATGTGATTATCTTAAAACTACTATTTTAACTGAATAATGGCATCTCATACATATATGTATTGGTAGGAACCAGCTGTAGTGGGGGGTTTATAAAAAAGTGCAGTGTGATCATATCTTTTCCGTGTTCAGAATCTATTGTTAATTTTCAATAAATTAACAATAAATAATCATCTTTCTAATAAAGGATTTCAAATATGGGTAGTAATGCCACTGCATAAGCTACAGGGAAAAGGCTTCTTTTTGTTTACACCAAAATGTAAATGCTGAAATTCAGTTTTTGTCTGTATGTGTGGGCATTTTCTTAGGATGATATTATAGACGATGTGGAAGACTTTGTTGCAGCAGCAGAAATTCTGAAGGAGAGGGGAGCCTACAAGATCTACGTCATGGCTACACATGGCTTGCTGTCAGCAGAGGCTCCGAGACTAATAGAAGAATCTGCTATTGATGAGGTAAAATAATGTGCACTTGGTATAATTGATTATAATTACCCATTACTGACATTAACTTTTAGCAGTCCATGGAAACGCATCAGCATTAGAGATCTGCTGTACTCTTTCTGTAAAAGTAAAATTAATGGGTGAAAAATTTCACAACCAAACCTTTGAAGCAGTCTCATCCTAGGTATGCACTCACTGGCCACTTTATTAGGTACACACATTCATTAACACTACTGTCTAATCAGCCAAGCACATGGCCGTGTCTCAGTGCGTTTGGGCATGTAAACTTGGTCAAGATGACCTGCTGAATTTCAAACTGGGCATCAAACAGGTGATTTAATGATTTTAAGTGATAGAATGGTTGGTGGTGCCAGATTTGCTCATCTGTTTTTCAGAAATTGCTCATCTACTGACATCTTCCTCTTCTCTGGGAAAGAATGCCTTATTGATGTCAAAGAAAAATGGCCAAACTGATTTACACCTCGGTTTCTGCTGCAACACTGGAGCGTTAGGGACAGAATTCAGTGTAAACATGAAAGCGTGGCTCCATTGTGCATTGTTTCAAAGCGGGTAGTGGTGATGTTTATGGTGTGGGGAACAATTGCTTGGCATACTTAGAGCTGCTTCCAGCAAGTTAATGTGGCTTGTTACAAATGTATCTAATTATCCCAAACTGGTTTCTAGAATGTCACAGTGAGTTCCTGTAGGGGTGGGCGGTATAAACGGTATACGGTAGAAACAATATAAATTTGGCCAACGGTAGAGATTTTGACTATACCGCTCTACCGCGGTAGCGTATGTTGATGGTGTCATCCAGCTGTGCCTGTTTTGGTCGAAAACATTGCAGCGGCTGCAAACAACATCATCTGCAAACTATGCCGGGCGACAGTCATAGCAAAGAGACGAAGCACTTTTGAAATATGGGGAAAGCCAAAAACTGCGCTTCCTCCACTTCTGTACCATTGATTCATTAATGTTGAATTCTCTCACAGCTGTTCTATTCCCATGTTGTTGCAGTATATTCTGCCATGCAATTCCATTTGTCCCTAACCACCAGAAACCCTCACGTGAACTTTTATCGAGTGGTAAAAAGTTTGTAGCACATTATTATTTACCAGCTAGTTTGACTTCAGTAACCTTACAAAAGTCACTGCTGTCTAGTTTTCTGTCTTTATTTATGTTGGAAGTGGTAGCAGAGCTGTACGTTGTAATTTTTTCAAAAATCTCTCAGTCAGAACATATATACGTATATCATGTTTAGGTGGAAGCTAGCAAGCTAACTTCCTGCTAACTTCTAACTCCGTTGAATTTAATAAATTTTGTTTTCATGGATGCCTGGATGTTAAACTTAATTGTTACACCTGGTAAAGCAGCAGCGCCAATTATTTTATTAAAGATGAAAGAATTTAGACTGTTTTTAACTACTCCGCGAAGCTCCTGCCTACGGTAGCCGTAATGCTCCAACAATCCATCAAGCGGTGCGCCTTCATAGCTTACCAAAGTCGTACTAAAACGTTTTTGACAGATTTCTGCGCACTGTTTGCCACATAAAATCGGTTCTAGGTCAGTAAGCACAACCAGAATTCATACATAAGGCACACTGTCGATTTTTGAGAAAATTAAAGGATTTTAAGTGTGCCTTATAGTGTGTAAAATACGTTATACGGAAGAAAAGAATATATCACAATATATAGCGTTACCGCACATACTTCAAATTATACCGTGATATGGATTTTAGGCCATATTGCCCAGCCCTAAGTTCATGCTCTCAAATGGCCTCCATAGTCACGAAACCTTTATTTAATACAGCACTTTTTGGATGTGGCATTGGAGCTTCTAATTATAGATGTGCAGCTGACAAATCTGCAGCAACTGTGAGATGTCATCATATCAATATGGGCCAAAATCTTTGAGGAATGTTTCTAGAACCTTGTCAAATCTATGCGACAAAGAACTAAGGCACTTCTGAAGGAAGTCGGAATCAAATGGTAAATGGCCTGTATTTGTATAGCGCTTTACTAGTCCCTAAGGACCCCAAAGCGCTTTACACATCCAGTCATCCACCCATTCACACATACATTCGCACACTGGTGATGGCAAGCTACATTGTAGCCACAGATTTAATATACACAGTTTTGTGTATATTAAATCTTTATTTGTGCATCTTTTTATGCTTTCATGCTTGGGTGTTGTTTTGTGTTATAGCTTAAGAAAGAACAAAGCTCGAGAGTTGGGGTGAAAGAATTGCTTTTAGTTAGTTAACAAACGTTAAAAATGAAAATTACAATTTTATTAACATGTATGTGTAAACATGCAATTACAAGATGTAATAACATTTGACACACACAAACAAAAAAAAATTGAAAATGCACTACTAAATAAAGCTGCATTTATCCTTAACTTCCTGTGTTGTTAAATAATAGAACATTTAAGATTGTGGTTCAAAAAAACCTGTGTACCTGTGTGAAATACAGCAATAAAAGGGTACATTGTGCTTTCAGGTGGTGGTGACCAACACTGTTCCCCATGAGGTCCAGAAGCTTCAGTGTCCAAAAATCAAAACCGTGGACGTCAGTATGATCCTGGCTGAGGCGATCAGACGCATCCACAATGGAGAATCCATGGCCTATCTGTTCCGCAACATTGCTATGGACGACTGAGGCAACACACACGTACATTTAGGCTACATCATTCATAAGCACATACACTGAGGACCAAGAATCCAGTTTACTTTAAGCTCGGCTTTTAAGCTGTTACAGTTTGTTTTCCTGTTAATCCTTAGAGAATAACTGACTCTGTGTACTGTATGTTACATATGAAACTCAGACTTTGCTTTATTTCTCATTTCTGTTACACAGAAGAACTGTACACACTACTCAATGGTTTCACTTCGCTAATGTGTCTTTCATACAGTCTGACAACATAAATGTCACAAATGATGTATCACGTGGACCCTCTCATCACACTGTAGCGTTTGGCAAATAAAGCTGTTCTTCATCGGGCTTTTTTATGTTTATTTTTTATCTCTATTTATTTTTTTGATACCATCTTGATTCAGAATGATAAATGCTAAGCTGAATAACTGGGTGGGGAAGTAAAGCTCTACACCACATCTGGCATTTTCATATACATTCATTTGTATTTTAGATGTGTGAAGATTTTTGTGGAACTGCCAGAAAACTACAGTAAAGCGGCTTCACACCTGAACTGAAACTCTCGGTAGCAGTTTCAGTCACTGTTCAGGCGGCTGTTTTTGTGAAGCATGGAAAAGCATGAAGTACCCACCTGCAGTTAGTTTACAGTACTTCATGATTAATACTTTTACAGTTGTCATATGTGATAACGCACAATACTTAGGAGGAAATGAAATGCAGTCCAGATAAGGAAGGGGAAAAATGATTTGTGGTTTTGGAACCAGGCCGTTGAGATTTTCTTTTTTAAAATAAATTCTGCAAATAGAAATCTTTTGCAAGCATTGTAAAGTAAACTAGATGATCAGAATTTCAAGTGTAAAGCAGAAACTTTAATAGTGGATGCTGCTTTTTATTAATTAAAATTGAATGTAGTTTTCAGTTTACTTTTTTTCAACATATTTCAAGCAAAGGCAAATTTATAAGTGTATTACTCATCGAAACATGACTCACAGATGAGTAAATATAGACATGTGGCAAGTTTTTTTTTTTCTACAGAGAGATAAAACATTTAAATAACTACATTTTCACATGCGGGCACCACGTAGACATTTTGTAATCTTTGTGTTTCTGTCCAAGACCCTGAACTTGTTCTAAACGCCTCAGAGTCACTTCAATCTGCTGAGGAGCTTTGACCAAGTCTAGGGGCAGAGACGTGTTATTGGAAAAAGTCAGAACTGTTTAAATAGTCACCAACCCAGTAAATATGATCATTTAGCATCAGTAAAGCATTCTCAGTGGGATAATAAAATATGTACATGTATTCTAAAGAGCCTAAGCTATTCCTTGGTGTAAATTAAAGTACAACTCCATGTAACAAGATGACAAAAGCACACACCTGCATGACTGTGAAGCTGTTGGGCCTCCCTTCCTTCGCAAATGAGCAAGAGTAGAGTGCGGAAGAATGTTTAAATGTGGACTGAAAGAGGAACTGCCCACAAACGTTTACCAGGCCACTTCCTCAAATTAAAACAGGAAACTTTGTTCAGTCTAATCTGATTGGGGGGGGGGGTTGTTCGGACCAGAACTACAACTGTCTCCCAGTTGCATGTAGGGGAACCATGCACAGCTCTTTCAGGAACTGCATAATGATCTGCGCTGTCACAGCTACACAGTAGTAATGCACAACTGTTCAGTATTCAAATGTTGTGATGCTAATGAGAGGCTTCATTTGTTTTGCTTAACTTTGTCTACCATTGCCTCAGGGATGGAGACAGTAGTGCTGACCTTACTAACCTATGCTAAAGTTGCTTTCATCTTAACACGTAGTTCCAGGAGACGTAAAAGTCTTTTTTTTTTTTTTGTTATAGATTTGGCTGCAGGTGTTTTGGTGTCATACATAAAATCCTTTTCCTCAATAGGCCTGCCTTAAATATGTCTGTTTTTAAAGGTTGTATTTAACCTGTATATAACCTTGTTTGCAGGTACCACAGTAAATATAGCGTACCCACATTGAGGCCTCAGTTAATGTAATGTGTGTTTTTCACCAGCAGATGGCAACAGAGGTCAGAAAATACTGGCAGGCGTGTGCAGTTAAGAAATTTAGAGCACAAATTGTGCTAATCACAATTGCTTTTACCGGATGTTCTCATTTTTTATTTTGTTTAAATCACTTGTCACAAGAACAGTGAATACTTAATTTTGTAATTTTATGACTGCCCATGCAAAGGGAATGGTAGATGGAACATGCTGGGACCTCACCCAAAACAAACAGTCTTTACGGTCCTATAATGTATGCATGGCATTAACAAAGAGATGCTTCTAAGCTTTACTGCATCATATTTAACCATCTCATATTATGTAATTATACCTTTCAGTTTAGCTTTTTGTGTTATAAGAGGGCTATAAGACTCCAAAACATGTTCTAGAAAATAATTTTTGCTGTATTAATCTTGTGATAGTTAAGTCTTCTTTTTGGCTTCCAACTTTATGTATACACTACTTTTTATCAGCACGGTTTCTATTGTCTTTTTGCTTATTTTGTGACCTTATTACTGCCTTATTTATTTGTAACCTCCTGACATCCTTTAATGTAAATAATAATTCCGGTGCTGTGGTTAACACTGTTGCATCACAGAAGGAAAGCCCTGAGTTTAAATCCACTGGCCTGCTGGGGCATTTCAGTTTAAGATATGCATGAGCATTTTGAAATTGGCTGTAGCTGTGAATGGTTGTCTGTCGCTCTGTGTTAGCCTTGTGACAGGCTGGTGATTTGTCCAGGGTGTATGCCTATCATTCGCCCTATGACAGCTGGTAAAGGGTCCAGCCTCTCTGAATTGCATGGGTGGAATAAAATTGATGTTGTACTTCTTCACATACATATCAATGCTTATCTATTTTTCATGTCTTTAATTATGTATCTAGGTATGTTTATTTACAGAAACAGAAACATTTTCACAAGTGTTGCTTTTCGCTTTTATTACACATTAAAGACACTATTCCACATACGTTTGTTAAATAAACAGCTAAAAAATATATGAATACATGTGATGATAAAAAAAAAATGAAATTTATAAAAACAAGCATTTTGAATGGCCACATCAAAATGAAAAGTGCATTTATATTTCCATTTGACCACAGTTTTTTTTTAATACAAGGGTAATGTTATGCTTAGTAGAAAATCCCAATTAAAAAAATTCAAACAGTATCATGTGCTACAGGTGAATTACTAAGTTAAAAAAAATTACATGAGATATACAACTTTTACAGAGGCCACACCTGATACATATATACACATACTTCCCCTTAGTAAACAAAGGATAACAACAGTCCAGATAGCTTAACATGAGGAAATTCAATAGCTTTACAGTGATCTGAACACCAGCAGCATGTCACCAAATAAGCAACAACAACGTTACATCAAGTACACATCTAATTCATTCTCTCCATTTAATTTTAGGTTCACAGATATTCATAAGGTAGCAGTCTGTTTAGGTTCGGTCTGTACTTATTTTCTTCTTCCTGAAGTGTTTTTGTGTGTGTTTGTGTGTGTCCATAATCCCAGCCAGGCAGCTCTTATGATGTCCAGGTTTCTCTCTCGTTCTCTCTGTCCAGCAGCACTGAGTTTCACAACATACCTTTCCATATTCTCATCCACCCTGGCTTTTTGTGAAGCAAAACACCATCTCCCCTCCTGTGACGCTCACTATGACAAAATACAGCTGTTGGTCTTGTTCATGGGTGGCCGAAAATCGGTGTCTTTTGGAAAAGTCTCCCTGCGTCGACGTAGTGCGGGGCTGAGGCGGCTGGGAAGGTTTGCCTGTTGCAGGAGCTCCTTGAACACTTCAACGACATTGGAATTTTCCTTTGCTGAAGTTTCCACATAACTGTTGTTCCAGTCCATCTCTACAGTTGATAGCACGTCCTCGTTGGACACTTGACGCTCCTCTTCTCTGTCCACCTTGTTTCCCACCACCACGATTGGTGTGTACTTGTCCTCTTTGATCTCAAGAATCTCATCTCGGAGGCTCTTGACAGCCTCCAGTGATTCTGGGTCATCCACAGCGTACACCAGTGCGAAGGCATCACTGCTTTGGATTGAGAGCTTGCGCATGGCGGGGAAGGAGTAGCTACCGCTGGTGTCCAGGATTTCCACGGTGATCTTGACCCCGCCAATGTCATATTCTTTACTGTGCAGCTCCTCCACAGTACGCCGATGTTTGGGCTCAAAGGTGTCTTGGAGAAAGCGTCTGATAAGGGCCGTCTTCCCCACGCCTGCTGCTCCCAGAAACACTAGGCGCACGTGTGTCTTCTCCTTCACCTCCAGAGACATGTCTTACTTTTCTTTCTTGGCCCAATTGAGAAAAGAAAATGTCCCAAAAAGTGTCTTATTTAATGCACTTGCAAATATTAAACCTGTCAGTAATCTTTAACCTAAATATTTTCTCAAGGAAATCTCTCCATGTGCAGTTTGAAAATTCTTGTTCCTGAGCTTCTTTCCTTTTTGTTTTTTCACCTGATAGTTTTTAAGCTCTCTGTCGAAGCTGCTTATTGGGTGCTTCACTGTGCCCTAAACCTACACACACTGCCTTTTATGCTTGTTTTGGTGAGAGAGCTCAATGGCCCACCCCTGCGATTGCAGCCAATCAGCTCAAGGCAGCCTGTTGAAGTACAACATCTTGACAACCAATGATTGCAGAGTATGTAAATCAGTGTAAAGGGCCACTTCAGGCAGAGAAAGGAGGCGCTATATGAGAGTGGATACATGACAAGCATAGCATAGAAAATATTGTCTGAGTAGAGCCCTGATTATTATTCCAAAGAGTCGCAGAGTACTTCAGTGGAAGGAAGTAGTACCTCAGGTTTGATAGTATAAGGAAAGAAATGCACACAAATAATCAGGTAATTTATTTCATTAAGCAGCATTTTGACATTTTCTTTGGTTGCAGCAGGATGGGCAGTTTTATCTTATCTGTTGTATTTATTTGTCATAGAGTTCATCTTGATTAGACATGGTCATCCAATATATGAACATAATTTCTGATGATGAAAGCTCTGACGTCTTATTCATCATAAATTGCTATCAGTAACTCATTTGCAATAAATAATATAAGAATGCATTCGTAGAATGATAAACAGCCATCTCAGGTGATGAATTCGTGGTGCATACAAAACGCACCATGAATATTTTGCGAAACCAAACATTGTCCATAAGATCATCTTTACTTAAAATGAACAGAGGAATTGAAGGTCAGCTTCCAGGTTATCGTTTGATTAGCAACAGCTGCCATTGCATATAATAATTTGGAAGATGAGATAATAAACAAAAATCAAGCAAACAAAAGAAATGTGACTTAAGCTCATCAGCCTTTATTATTCACTAGTGTGGCTATTACTAGCAAGTATGCCTCTAGCTGTCCAAGAATTAATCCTGCCTGCTTTCAGTTTGTTCCTTGGGAGTGAATCAGACTTGTGAGCCTTTCTAAATTCCCCTCCAGGAGATTGATATCGTCTCACAGCCTACCTGGTTTGTTAAGTTACGCAGCAGCGTGGAAACACGGCAAGCTCTAGAGGACACTGCAACCTCTCCCAGCTGCTCATATTTTTAATATGCACTCGTATGCTTTCATCTGGGGACTGCTCTGTCTGAGCTGAGCAACAGAGCAAAGCTCTGTGGGAATTCAGCTGTGGACTAAAACAATGCGAGGAAGTCAGCGCTCGGGAATTTGTAGAAAAGCAATTTCACAGCTTGATTTGATCACTTTCAGACGAGTCAAAGGTAGTTCAGTTAAATCACAAGATAAACTGTATCCTGTTGTTAGGCTCAGGTTGCTTTGTACGCATTGAATTGTATTCTTAAGAACATACATTTCAGTGCATTGATAGTTTCTGAAATTGCAAGATTGTCAGCATAGCAGGTATTATTTGCATAAACTTAAATAGTGGTCTTCAGGCTCTTGTCCTTTACTTTGTGTAGTATTTCATTTTATTGCTATAGTTATTAGATACTGTGTACAGTGTGCACTGTGTGCTAAAATACACCAATGACACAATCACTGCATAAAATATAATTTACTGTGCAATATTTAACTGAGCAACAGCATGTAGTTGGAGCCTAAAATAAAAATATATTCAAACTACCCCAATCTAGAGGTGTAATGTGGAAAATGTAAGAAATACCAGCTGCCGTACATGAGGCAACTAAAGAGAAATATACCATAAAGAAAACAAAAAACTGTCAATAAGCACAGCTTTACTGTAAGTGTTATTGCTTTGTTACTGTGGCTTCTTGTTACAAGCCTTATGTATTAACAAATGCAGTGGAAATATGTAAATTAAAAGTGGACCTCACACAACGTGAAGCCCTGCCCATTAATAGTTAACAAAGTAAATGAAAAGTGGCCTTCCCATCTGTTGCCTCTGGATGTTTTTTTGTGTACTTCATGTGCCATTATGTCTCACATCCCAGGCATTTTTCTATTTACGGTCACGTTGCCCCGTGGAGATGATAACGACCAGATGGCGTTGCCTGTCGGACTGAAACGAATTCAGCTCTGATGTGTGTTAGCGCTGTTGTATACCATAGAACAACATAATGATTCCGTGGCTGTTCAGTCCAACATGTTGATGTTTGTTTGATGCAGAAATAGCACTTTTGTTTTATCCTCCTGTCGTCTGAACGCTTTGATTTTTAGTTTACATGCAGTTTTCAGTGGCAGCTCAACAGGTTGCTTTGTTTCCACGAGCTGCGTCGCGACACTATTGTAATGAATGTGCCATTCTACTTCAGCTTATTTCCTTTTGTATGCATGCACAACCTTGCCCCAGTGGCAGTGGCACACAAAATTTATTGGAGTTACAGTTTGTTTGTTTTTTTCCCTGTGGAACTAAAAGAAAACTAAGAAAAGATGCAGAAAAATGCTTAAAATATTCAAAAGTAGTACACCTTTTTCTCTCTTTGTTGACAGTGAGGACAACTATCGTTCAAGGCTAATCGTGAAAATATTCTGTAACTGATGGACATCAACTGGAGCACCTCTTAGACAGGTCTAGCAGTTTTTGTAAAGTGACATCTTTTTTGCATTTTTACCTCTGCACACGGAAATGGTGGATCAATAAAGGTGTAATTTGATCTGCAATTTTTTCCAGACTGCTTTGGAATTAGCCATTTTATACACGGTCCCCAATTTTCTGAGAGTCATTGTCAAAGTCTGTAATCAAGAAACAGCATCATGAAAGCAATTACACGGTTGACAATGTTCATCACCATGCTGATGTACTGGAGCAAAAACGTAACTGTCCAAAAACTTACTAAGACCTAAGTGTAGGTGGAGCTTGAACCAGTACTCGGGCGAATAACTGAAGTGCATTGGGACAAACACACACTTAGTCCAATTTCTTTTTTCTTTTTTTTTAATCGCTCTTCTTTTAATTCCAATGTAGTTAATTAGAACTTTTTTAAGCAGGAAAAAGGTTAGTATTAGTGTTACTAAAAAGAACAAAAATAAAACCTCTCTCAGGTACTTTTTGTTCAGATATCAGTCCCCGAACTGTCTTTTAGCCAAAGTCAATTATGATTAGTTTTACATCTTTATCTGAAACAGGGCTCCTTGAGGCTATGAGCCCCTTGTGTATTATTGAGAAGCATAGGCCCTGGCTGTGTGTATTGATAGAAAGTGGCCTGTGTCTTGGCCCCTCTGGTCTGATTGTCTGCACTCCTGTTGGAAATGTGTGCACTGCACTGCTGTCTTGTCAAGATGACATGAGATGATGGTCTTGCAATCTGACAGATGCCAAATATAAATGTTGCCCTATGTCATAGTTGACCTTGGCTGCTACTCATGCATTCTTTGCCTCTATATGTTCTTATATAAAGTGAGATGTTGTTGGAAAAGTCTGATCTTTCAGTACTTTCTGTCATCCCTTCTGTTGCTGTGCTACTTGGCCCTAAGGCCATTTTTTTTTCCTACTGAGGAGATAAAGAAGATATAAATCTTTAAAAGCGGATTGTCTTTAAAATATAATATAGCTCATTTGGAGCCAGTTGAAGTCAAAAGCAGTTGACCATCAAACTCCCAGATGGCACGGACCAGGCCAATTTAATGCGTATACTCTTTGGTTGTTACTGTAAAATAATAAAGTGCCTTTTATGTTGATCTGATAACCCCAGGAGTTACCTTTTGGAACTGGCAATGTGGTACTACTGAGAAAATGCACCTGACAAGATTTGAAGTTTGCATCGTCGAACATTTATCAATAGACATTATGTTCTAAATAGCTTACTGTGGTAATTTTGTGCTTAGTCATATGCCATCCATCATAAACAGAACTGTGAAACTGGTTAAAGGTTAAAGTAGCACAGTTTATGCATGCTGATGATCATGATATTAATGCAGAAGGTTTGGTATTTTCCATGATTGCAGGTACTTGTCATGACAGCTTTCTGCTGTCACCATGAAATCTTTCCTCTGCAGCTGTAACACTGTGCCGATATTCTACTGTGCTGTGCAGTCAGAGTCGCACCTTGTTGAAGCAAATTGATTCGTGCATGTACAGTAGATGAGCAAATAGCAAGTAGTAAATGTTAATGGTAGAAATGATACCAACTTTATGGTCACGTTTTAACTTTATGGCCGCACAGCTGGCTTTGCCACCCCTGTCATTTATTTCATGACTTCCTTAAATAGAAAGTAATCATCTGCCTTTTTTCTTTAGTATTTTCTGAGGAAAGAAGCTTTATTATGAAAATGAAGTTATAAGCGTCTTGACGCATGCTCATCATCATCCAGGTAAGGAAATCTCAAAAAGTTGTCACTGTTCATCTAGGCGTCACTTGACTCCATGAAGAAGCCTCTTGGACGAGTGACGAAATATTTCTCCTACTCAAAATGCTTTTGGGGTAAAGTTATAAGCACAACTAGCTGATGAAATCGTTTTTTAATTATATTTGACAATCAGGCTTGTTGTTTGTGCAGGCTATCCTCATTCAAGGACTGACAGGATGTCTCCCAGGATATTGTACGTCAACAGTCAAATCATCTGTGTGGCTTGCCAACTACTATTAGGGTCATTGCATCTTTGTCAGTGTACAGATAGACATGCAGTGATAATGGTTACCACTACGTTCCACTTGTGTCTCATTCATGGCAAGCACATCAGGACAGATTATGATGCACATACTTATCTATGTCCTTTGGCATAGCTAATGATAGTGTTATAATGGTAAGTTAAATTATCATAATGTAATATGTGTCTGAGTCGTTTTACTTTTTGGGATTACTCCAGTATCTGTCTACTAATTTTGATTTTAAGGGATGAATGTGCTGGTATTGTGATTTTTGTTATTAATAAATGCTGCTAAAGCGGTCCAAGTACTTTTTCTGCTGATAGGGTGGGCATACATCGCCCTGCTGCTGTAAATACTCACTAAAGCTTGAGTAATTTACATCAGTTTAGTCATATGTCACATGTTGACCAAAGTGCTGCAGAGCAAGTAAAATATCAGATAGTTAAATAATACAAATAATTGATGATGATAATGATAATGATAAT